TATAGAAATAAACAGAATCTTTGAAGCCTCAATGAGGTATTCTCAACCCTGGTTTTCTGGTATATTCAACTTGCTACAATAACGTTCATTATCCTGGCGGAGGTGTAGACTGCAATTGCAATACTGTTATGGATTGCGCGTCTTTTGAACTGTGTCAAAGGTGCTGGTACTACGAGTACTTTCCAAAGCGAGAGTAACATAATCTGCCATGGTGGCTTTGTCTCGAAGGGGTACTCGGGTCCGTCGTACACTGGAGCAACGTGAAATTCATACAGACTACCTGAGAAAGAAAAAGAATTCAAATCAAATCCTAGAATACAGCACATCAGACTGCCCAATCTCCCTGAATCAAGAACTGAACAATAATAATACAAAGAGAGAATTGAAATCATTGCACCAAATCCAGCACTCAGACTTTGGAATGAACCTTCAGAAACCAGTCACCACCTGCATGCATCGAGGCCATTGATCACCACCCATCCAATCGCTACTAGAGGCAGAAGCTGGCCAATACTGTTGACGTTACGCTCCGGGTTCTCATTTGTACGGCCGCCCACTATCCAGCCCGAACCATCAACGAAGTCTCGGATGAGCCAGTTGTGGCCCCAACACATTAAGTAGACAAGGCTACACGTTACTAATGTAAAGAAGTAGTATAGGATGGACCATCCATTGATTCTCTTGGGCGCCTGAGATGTAGAAGCTGATTGTCCGTACCGGTCCTTTCGACGGTAAATGTGGGAAACGTGTCCCAAGAGAAAGCACAGGACCAGAAGAATGTACAGATAAATCTCAGGCTGGTTCTTGGACTGAGCTCTCCCACCGAGCCATTCAACTCGCACGTTGGACAGGCCCTTGAACGGATCCAGGTCGGGATCAAGGAAACATGCAATGGGAACGAAGATGCTGCTGTCGGTGTTGTTGCGTTTATCAGGTAACCAACCTATCGCCTCAGGAGCAAGTGGGCGGAAATATTGGTAGACCAAGATGCGGCCCAGGATCGCAAGAAGGCTTATAGAGATTGAAAATCGGATCAGAGCGGCACAGAACGCCTTCCAAAAGTCTCGCACCATTATCACCGAGAGAATTATCGTTGCGCAAGCGCAGAGGATCGTGTTGACCCCGACACTGAAGTGATAAGCCGAGACAGTACACTTGCCAGACATACCAAAATTGATTGCGTATGTCAGGGCTATGATAGACTGCGCATCTGCTGTGGATATGACGAGAGCTCGAACGACAGTTAAGAATGTATCAAAGCGCTTAGACCGCTTGCCTGGAGGAGCTAGAGGACCTCGATGGTTGATGTTGTGTCTATGGCTTCTCTTATCAGCATTTGGACTAAGAAACGTCTTTCTTGTCTTTTCGTACCTTTTAGTCTTGGCTTGCGAGTTGTTAAAAGGCAGCCTAGATGGCTCATTCCAAGGCTTCACCCACCAAAGAAACTCCCTAACGAAGAAAACGAGTGCTGTTAAACACATTAGGACACCAGGAAGAAAGCCCCACCACAGCTGAGAATATATCAATAAAGAATTCCGATGTAAGTCAAACATACATTAGAGAAGAGGTAGACATACTCCCAAGCCCGCAATATCTGGATCCGGTGGAAAATCAGGGCGTTGAATCGTTCCATAGCTGCTCACAGTATCGTTCGCATTGAAGAAGTGAATTTGACAAGCTTCATTTATATCAATCCCTTGCTTGCGACATTCCTGCTGAATTTCAAACGTGAAGTTCGAGCGGAAATAACCTTTAAGGAACGAATCAACCCCCATTCTAAAAATGATTTGAACGGGGAAGTATAACGAGTGACTGGAAATATGAAAGCCGAGACCGTCGAGGCTTTGAAAGCTGTCTACATAGACGCACAAGAGTTGAATGAGAGGGCAGACTCTACAATATTTATCTCTCGAAGGGGGATTGATAAAACACTGAGATATCTAAGGTCGACACCAACACAATATCCCCGAAAGTCTCAACTTAAGCCCGGTGCCCTTGATGAAAGTCATGAGAGCTAGAGAAACATAGTGCTGTTGGTGAGAGAGCCTTGTGCCCTAACCTCAAGCCTTCGCTTGGCGTTGCTTGGAAGGCTGAGTTTCTGGCCGGCTCTGGTCTAGACCTCACCGAGCACATATCCTTCTATAGTTGGGCCATTCATGCCAGGAAGTCGTCGAAATTTCGAAGCCTCGTGCATGGGCCGAGATAAGACCGTCCCCTCGCGGCTAACAGCTCTGTAGTATTGGACATCTCGACTCGTTCTGCAGCCTCTTCTTACGCCCCCACCTGTCGTACGACATACTCTGCAACCAAATATCTCATTGACTTCATGCTATTATCTCAAGACCGTCTGGGAATTGAGCCTGACATTTCATTGCCACCGCCACGGGTTCGGTCAGAAAAGCCACCCAATTCAATACGATGATGTGCATACGAGCCGCAGCCTCCTGAATCTCATGAATGCTCGGGGGCTATGGTCCGCATCACGGGCCTTGGCTGATGTTTTGGCCGTACAAGATCACATCGAGACTGAATGGCCTACAATGGGTGATATTGACTTATGACGATGTTATGATTAAAATTCGTACTCCCAAGATATCGGGCAATGCAACTGTTCCTTGTATCAATTATTACTAATTACTGCTGACTGGTATCACTCTGGCGTCTTCAATGCTTTTGTGCATTTCAAGTCCTTGAATGATGTTAAAGCCATGATGATTGATATGTCAATCGTAATCAGCAACATAGATTAGTCAAGCCGGTGAATTAGAAAGTTAGAGTTTTATCGAATTATCTAGTAGATATCCATTGGCCTAACTGAATCGTTGCTATCTAGACAGGTGATATGGATTGCTTACCAAACTCGGCTGAGGTCTAGGCCGTGTGGCGCTAATCCTCCGGAGCACTCGAAAGCTCCGTCCTGCTGGGGTACACCAACCTTATATGCTGATATCCAATCACCGGATGGATTAGTATCGTAGTAGAGCAGTGATTAATAACAACCAGAGTCGTGTCCATGAAGAGTATATGATGTGAAGCTTCACCAGGAGCTGAGCTTGGATATGACCTTGACTTCAATCTTGAAGCTGCAAGACGTCCCTGCACTGAATGCCAAGAACAACCCGCACTAGCAACTTATACTACTAACACTTCAAATCAAGTCACCCACCCACCAAGGACCACGATGCCTTCTACATCACCTGTTGCACTTATACTTGGGGCCGGTGCCAACGTCGGACAGAACGTCGCTCGCGCATTTGCTGCCAAAGGATATAAGATCGCTTTAGCAGCTCGAAGTTTGAAAGAGGAGGACAGCACTGCCGACCAGCTGCATATTCGAGCCGACTTCAGTGACCCTGCCTCTGTCGTCGACATTTTTGCCAAAGTCAAAGCACAGCTGGGCTCCCCATACGTCGTCGTCTACAATGGTATTATCTCCCACCTGCAATATTGGGAAACATGTTAATGACCTTTGCCAATAGCTGCCGCCGCAACGCGCTTGGACCCGAAGAACCCACTACGACTTGACCTGGACGACTTCAATCGCACTTTTGCCATCAACACGACTAGCTCCCTCATTGCCGCCCAACAAGCCGTACTTGCCTTCGAAGAGCTCCCCGAGTCCGCATCGAAGACTTTTATCTACACTGGAAACTGCACCAATGTGAAACCGATCGTGGCGCTCATGGACGCCGGAGTTGGAAAGTCTGCGAGCGCACACATTATCCAATGTGCTGCGGAGGCGTACAAAGACAAGGGCTTTAAGTATGTATAGAATTGAGTGCCATCTACTATCGAGGCTAACGGATTAGTTAGGTTCTATTACGCCGACGAGAGAAACGCAGACGGATCGCCCGCTTATGGTGCGATAAATGGTCCGGCGCATGGCAAATTCTATACGGCACTCGCCGAAGGGACTTCACAGGGGCCATGGCACCAGACGTTTGTCAAAGATGTTGGATACAAGAAGTTCTGACTCTTCGGAAACAATGATGTAAAGACAAAATCTAGTCTGTAATCAGACATATATGTTTCTATTGTTGAGTCCATCTCTAATATGTCCGGGGCTTTCATGATACGTCATCTGCAACCGATTATTCTAACCGGTGATCGGTGACATATTACTCGTGCCACATATTTATGACTGTCGTTGATGTTGTGATAAGATTATCCATGATCATACGCCAGGAGGCGACGAATGAATCCAGCAGGGCTGGTATCGTGGAAAATTGCCCAACCTTGCAGATTATGGGTTTGACGATGCCGCAGGATCTATGGGAGACCAGAGACGGCATCGAGGTTCCATGTATCGGCGGGTGCAAATGTGCGGGCGTAGTGGGCTGCAATACTGCTGCGCTTGGCAATCCAGGCGCCCTCAAATGTGCTCACGTATTCGAGGAAACGAATTAGGGAGGCGACGCGCCCTGGTCGCATGATGCGGGCATGTAACCCAATCGACATCATTGTTCCGCTCTCGTCGGACTCGCGATATAACACATCGAAGGCATCCTTGAGATAGTCGAAGAAGTCGGTAGAGTTGGTGTACCCAGGTCCAGATTGGCCACCCCAAAAGCGTGCGTCGTTAGTGTCGACGGCGTATGGGAGGACGAGCATAGGTCGGCCGGAGACATCTGCGAAATATGGGCGATCATCATTTGTGGTAGCCGAGTCGAACAACAATCCTTCTTCAGCCATAATGCGGCGGCTGTTTTCCGTTATTGGTGGTCTGGGAAATGCACCGAGCATCTTTTTGCCCGTGAGATCCAGGGTCTGATCAATGGAGCGTCGGAGGTCTGCTCTCTCCGTCTCTTCTGTGAGACCGACTCGGCTGATTGATCGAGTACCGTGAGACACAATGTCACAGTCCTCTGTCTTCAAAAGTTCTGCAAACTCTGGATTGACTACGAGGGCTTCAGATGACAGAAATACGCTGTATGGAGCCTTAAATTCCTTGAACAGGCGCAACAAACGCCAAATGCCAACTCGTGTGCCGTATTCATACTCACCCTCCTGCATGAGGTCACGCTCGCTTTCTGGAAGGGCACTTCTCACCCAGGTCCGAGAATCTCGTGAGTTATCGCCGACTAGAGGGTTGCGCTCCGTGCCTTCCTCATAGTTGATGGCAAAGTTGATGGCGACTTTTTTGCCATTAGGCCAGCTGAATTTAGGAGGAGAGTCTCCATACCCAACGAAATCGCGAGGACGGGCTGTAGAGACGCTAGCCATGAAAGCCTATCACTAAATCTTTGCTTGGTGATAACAGGTACCTTATTTGACTACTTATTAATTGCCAGACCAAAATGACTTTTTGAAGAGATGATAGCTCTCTCAACAAAGTCATTTCCCTATAAGTGATTTGATCATGACTTCCTTCTTTTACACATGACTGTGAAGGAAACTGAAGTGTGAATCGGCTATATCCGAACGTTATCTGAAAAACGATATGTGGGTATCATTACGGTAATTGATGTAAGCTTTTCAGAAACCGGTTAGTCTAGCTAAGTCACTGGACGGATGCCACGCTTTGATTTCATCGATCTCAATATTGTCGTACGCGGCCATTTCTTGATATCTAGCTTTCGTCGGTATGATCCGCTGCGTTTAGCCGACTTTTCAAGGGCTTATCGAGGTAGACACGTGTTTGGCAGATTCGACTGAGACGGGCTTGGGGTTACATGGTAGTTGGTGATTTAATTTTCTGTTGCATGAATTATTGGATCCCTCTATTCCGAATATTAGTCTCTCAATGTCGAATGATTATGGATATATCGACCTGAAGAAAGGCAGTCTAAAAATATGATTACGGAAGTCTTGCTGAATCTATTTGATTATCTAGATATTGTACCTTATCTAGGCTATCACCTTCCGAACTATATCGTGAAGTGCTTTGGGTTGTTGAATAGGTGTGATATGACCTGACTCTGTCACAATAAAAACTTCTGAGCCCATTTGGTCGGCCAATTCATTCGACTCCTGGGGAACATTCCCATCCCATTCTCCAGCTACGAAAGCAAACCTGCCACCATCGCCCCTCTTCCCGATATCTGCAGCAAAAGGCATCAGATCCATCGGTCGCAGAGCAGCAATGCTAGCTTCGTACCCCTCAATACTCTGCTTGCAGTAGATCTCTTCTGCATGGGCGGCCTTTTCAGGGTTTGCGGTACGCCACCCCTCATCAAACCATCGTGCAATACTTTGTCGCCCTAAAGCAAGTGGCCCATTCTCGTAGCCGAATTTTATGCGATAAGTGTGTGCCGCATTCGAATCCGGATTGCTTCTAGCCCGTGTTCCCACAACAACAACATGCTCAACTCGGTGTGGGTGTTTCGCACCCACAATAAGACCTACTGCCGCACCAATGCTTAAGCCTACTATCGCTTTGACCTTTTTGATTTTGAGGTGATCGAGAATCTTGATGACATCATCGGCAAGGTCCTCAATGGTATGGCCCTTTGCGTAGTCAAATCCCGGTTCTGAAGTAAGAGGCGATTTACCATGAAATCGCGCGTCGTAGCGAAGGACAGTGTATTCAGGGACAAAGTCTGATACAAATTCATCCCAGAGCTGTGTTGTTGCTGCTAGTGAGTTTGACAGCACAAGGACATCTCTGGAGCCGTCTAGCGGTCCGTCTATAGTGTAGAAAAGGCGAATGTTAGGCCTTTCGGAGACTTCAACACACCCATTTGATGTGGCGACAGACATTTTTTGACTTGTGAACAGTAGATGGTATGCTAGTAATTTCCAAATTTGGGCTTCAAGGGTTCTAGATATGTTTTATAACAACAATGTTTCAGGCGTTGTCTAAAAAGAGTTAATGTTTTCAGGGGCTCCTAGACATGTAGCTCCGTGTTCGTGCATAAACTTCCAGCTCAATTCGGCATTTTCAGCTGTAGAAAACAATAAGGCACGATTGCCAAGTTTGATTTATCGCGATATTCCCCTTTTTTGCATGTCTGTTTGAATCCTCATGATGCTGCGTCAGTTCAAGACGGGGGTCTCGAATGTGGAGTTGCGGGGATAGCCGATGCCGTAGGATTCACTAACATCGGCAAGATACGATCAATCGACTGGCTCTTTATCGATGGACACGAGAACGGCACTGTATCAAGTCTAGATGTTTGTGGAGAAGTAGAGTGACCATCGTTATCTCTGAGTGAATCTGGCATGTTGTTCGGTCGGTATAGATTGGAGGCTGCGTACGGCTCTTGATCGGCGATCCGAGCTTAGATAGCTTGCGGTAGCATGAGAATTGATTTAAAGCCCATAGCTTGTCACCGCTACCATTAGAGTAATATTCATTACTTTGTAGTTTGATGCGCCTGTTCTTTTTACTGGCAAGTAGCTGAAAATATTCCGACAAGCCATCCTTAAACATGGCGGAAATTCTTGAACCGAGAGTGGAGGCAGGAGAGACTAAAGCGGCCACCGTTATTGAAGCTAGTTCCAAGATGTCACAGACATCAGATAATGTGGCTGATATTTATATCGACCCAGAACTTGAGAAAGCAGCATTGAGCAAATTCGACAAATGGCTCCTTCCGGTCGCGTTCACCTTTCTTGTCTTGTCCTCTCTAGATCGCAGTAATGTAAGTGCTACTAGTCTCGTGCTGGAAAAACTGTACTTGGAATACTAAAGGTCCAAAAGTTAGGAAATGCTAGGGTATTCGGCTTCGATAAAGATGTTGGACTACACGGCGGTATGTTTGGGAACATCACCACGTTGTTGAGTCTCAATCTTGTTCTGTTCGAAGTCCCATGGGTTTTGGCTGTTAGACGATTTGGTCCTAATCGAGCTCTGGGGACTGCACTCGTCCTTTGGAGCATAGTTACCCTCGGAACTGCATTCATACACAATTATGCACAAGCCATTGTGGTTCGTATGCTCCTCGGTGCCTGTGAAGCCGGTGTCTCCCCTGGCTTTGCCTACCTCTTCTCCACCATCTATCCCCGCGCCGCCGCTGGCAAGCGCATCATGATGACTAACCTCGCTAATTGCACGGCGGGTGCATTCGGTGGCCTATTTGCGTACGCGGTGCAAACAATGGGGACGAGAAGAGGCTTGGAAGCCTGGAGATGGTTGTTCATTGTCGAGTTCTGTGTCACGATTGTTGTGGGTGGCATTGGCTGGTCTATTCTCCCGACATCACCCGAGACGGCTTGGTTCTTGAGTAAAGAAGAGCAGGAAACTATGCTACTGAGAAAGCAGCGCGACGAGATTTATCGCGGTCAAGACAAATTCGAGAAGAAGTGGATCAAAGAGTCGCTGAAGGATCCATTCATTTACCTCGTAGCTCTGGCCTTCTTCACCTCATCTGTGGCTATCACCGGGTTCGGTGTCTTTTTGCCCACCATCATTGCTGGTTTAGGGTAGGCCTTTCTCTAATACTCTGACCGAACAAATCTCTAACATCTGCTCTAGGTACGCTTCCATTCATGTAAATTATATGACTATTCCGGTCTATGTTACAGGAGCAGTTTCTCTAGTGACAATGTGCTATTTATCCGACAAGTTGAATCGAAGAGCGGTGTTCCTTGTTGGATGCTGTGCTCCAGTTATAGTCGGCTATCTCATTGCTGTTGGTTCATCGAAACCTGCTGCTGGCTATGCTGGCATGTTTATCCTTGTCCTTGGTGAGTGGATGTATTTGGTTCTATTGATACTGTTCTAAGACTGGACAAGGCATATATCCCATCTCCACCCTTTCTGTTACCTGGGTGGGCACGAATGTATCACCGGATAACAAGCGTGCAATATCGCTACCATTCTATTATTCTCTCGCAAATATCTCGAACCTCGTCTCAGCCCAACTATACCCCAGCCAACATGGACCGCGTTATATACCTGGCAACGCTACTAGTGCGGGTCTGGAAGTCGTTGCTGCATTTCTATATCTGGCGAGCTGGTTCGTTCTTCGGCGCAGAAACGCGAAGAAAGCCAAGCTCATCGCAGAAGGAGCTACTACAAATGGAAAGGAGGGAGATAGAGGCCTTGACTTCACATACGGTCTGTAATCAAATCCATAACGCAAGTTTAAGCGGCAAGTGCCCACGAGAGAGGGTATAGTCTCTATAAAGGAACTGCGATGCCATTCTAGCTTGATGGCGCGTAGAGTTCGAGACAAATGACACATAAAGATGCGTGTATTTTTCATGCATGATACGATAGATACCATTTTCACTAGTCAAGAGCTATCATAGATCGGCTTTCGGCTTTAGCCGCTCAGCAACCAGGGACTTGGACCAAATCTGGCCTCGATGAAAACACAACGTGCTTTTGAATCACACATTAATTCTTGCCTAACCTGACTATGAATCTATCCTTGGTCGAGATCATTCAATATGTTTTACCTCGAGCCTCCTGTCCGCCTATATGCTGAACTGTATTCAACCGTTCCTCAGAAATGGTCTACCCTGACACGAAGTGACTGGGCAGACAACATTCTTGGAGGGAAAGTTGTTGGTACATTCCTGGAAGGTCCTTGTTTTGACCATGCTGGAAACCTCTACGTGGTAGACATCCCATTTGGGCGAATCTTTCGCATATCGAGAGAAGGTGACTGGTTGCTTTTCGCCAAATATGATGGTTGGCCAAATGGACTTAAGTGTACAGCAGAAGGACGAATCTTCGTGGCAGATCATCGCCAAGGGCTGGTTGAGATTAAGGAATCAGGAGAGGCGGTAACACTCGTCAGCGGCTACCGTGGTGAGCGTTTTCGTGGGCTCAATGATCTCACTATCGGGCCCGATGGGTGGATATACTTCACCGACCAAGGTCAATCCGGCTTGCAGGAGCCCAGCGGGTGCATCTATCGATGGAACCAAGAAACTGGGATGCTGGAAAGAGTTCTCTCGAACATCCCGAGCCCAAATGGTCTTGTGCTCAGTGCTGATGCGACTCGTTTGTTCGTTGCCGTAACACGCGCAAATGCAATCTGGCGAGCTCCCTTCGTTTTAGACGGGGGTGTTAGCAAGGTCGGAGTCTATTTGAGCCTCTCGGGCGGTGGTGGTCCGGATGGCATTGCCATCGACGCTGACGACGGTTTGATCGTGGCCCAGCCAGGTCTTGGAGTTTTACGCTTCGATTATCGTGGTGTATTAACACACTTTATCGATCTGCCTCATGGCTCATCTGCGTCTAATATTGCATTCGAACGTCATGATAGCCGTCGCATGTTCATCACAGATAGCTCAAGTGGTAAAATCTTTGTCGTTGATATGCCATTTGCTGGCCCTAAAACATCATGATCTGTTTAACTTCACATCATCACATGAATGAAGCGTTTGAAACAGGTTGCATCAACGGACTAGAGAGCAACATGAACATTTTTTTTATGGTCCCCAAAGCCGAGGTGCATCAATGCATAATTGTCTCTTAGTCCGTATCAAGAGCCATTGCCCAAGGATGTAGGCCGTCAGGAGACCAATGAAGACAGCCAATCAAAGTTGAGCTAGCGATGGGCTTTGATTTATAATCATGCATTTCATTCCGCGTACATTACACGTGACACGAGTCGCCCCACGACTTCGACCTTTTCTCGGTAAGACTGGTCGCATCCTAGTCGCATCATCACGTAATGATCTACCTGTCGACTCTTCAAAAGGTATCTCGTATTTGAGGCTCTCGATTTGTCTTGTACTCAGCATCCGCAGTGGCTCGATAGTGGGCCAAACCTCCAGAAATCATGGAGGTCGACCAGATATCGACAAAACAGGCGGGGTCTGTAAAGGCAGGCCCAACGATTGTCAGAGTAAGATCCATATTATGTCAACCGCCAACCACCTGAATGATGGGAGCTTATTGCTACTAGGCGTGTGATACATGTCGCAAGAAGAAAATTCGCTGTGTTCCAACGACAGAAGGTTGCGCGCAGTGCACAAAGGCTAAAGTCCACTGTCATTTCACTCCAATAACTTTGAAGAAGAGCCCTCGACGACCGGCTGGGTATGACATCTGAAGGCCTCACTCTTATGTAAGCTTATTGACATGGACGCAGATTCAAACACATAGAAGTTCTTGAGGACCGACTAAGACAGATGGAAGGTCGGTTGGAAAATGCACTCAGGAAAAGAATTGTCAAAGACGTTGACTCGCTTAATGGCGAGCCCATGCCTTTTGGTCTTGTTCCCCTGGGAACTGGCGATATATCGCATTCTACAAACGAAGCACTCAATTCTCAAGTGATATTGCGAGGCTCACACGAAAGTGAGATGCGTAGAGCGAAAGCAAGTATTGCAGAGAAAGTCTCAGTAATACCAGGTCTTATCGACATCAATGGCTATTCAGCAGGTGCTTCGATGGCACTTGAGCCTTCTCCAACCCGTACACGACCTTCTTCACACCCTTATGGAGGCCTTGCCGTGGGCCCATTTTCCCTGCCGTCATTCCAAGAGTTACCGGCCAAATCACTGGCTCTTGACTTAATCAATGAAGCGTTCAGAAGTTTCAACGATTTCTTCCCACTCTTCGACGAGCAAGACTTCTTACAGCAATTTCACGAAAATTACCTGGAGTCGACCCCAAGCAAACCAGGCTGGTGGGCGTGCATCAATGTTGTTCTCTCACTCGCGTATCGGTTCCGCGCAATGCGCACGCTGGAATCAGCCTATGCGACTAATGAATCATGCCGATACATGCACAATGCGCTGGCTGTTGTGTCTCAACTTAACCTCATGCAAAATAGTCTACCAGCTGTGCAGGCACTGCTTGGTATGGCGATTGTTCTTCAAGGTACACCGCACCCGCACACTGCTTCAGTGTTGATCGCAGCCGGAGTGAGATTGGCTCAGTCAATGGGATTGCATCGGAATATCCAGGATCCTAGCCTCACCGAGGCACAGATGGAACAGAGACGACGTGTTTTCTGGGTCGCGTACTTCCTTGATAGAGATATCAGTCTCCGGGCGGGATCACCGTTTGCTCAGGACGACGATGATATGGACGTTGAGTTGCCAAAAGGAATCATCTCTGAGCTTCCGCTAGGTGGTGACGGTCTTTACACGATCAACTTTTTCAACTCTCGTATCGGTCTTGCTGTCATCCAAGGACAAATCTACAAAAGGTTGTACTCTGTCCAGGCGACAAGACAGTCTGCAGAACGGAGATCGAGTATAGCACAGGAACTCAATGCAGTACTTTCGTATTGGAGGAGCGGTGTTCCTATCGATTTCGAAGACATTCCCATGACCCCGCTTCGAGCGCCTCTCACGGCCGAGTTTCTTCACATGCTTATCCTTCGGTTCACCTACGTCGATTGTCTGGTCATGATAGACCGACAACTGCTGCCGACGGAGCAACTTCAAGCTGATGTGAATTTTGATATGCAAGGTGCTTTTACTTCCGCGGAGAGTCTCTGTATTATCGAGTCGCGAAAGGCAGTCCGTCTCATTCAAATAGCGCCTCATGGTGATTACGCCTGTATCTGGTAAGTAGATTTCCCCGCACTGACAGGGTTGTTGTGTAGTATTCCTAACTTTCCCCAGGTTACTACTTCACCCCTTTTTTGCCGCCGTTACCGCACTCCTCCATAACGTGGTGCGCCATCCTGAATCGTGGCAAGCACAATCAGATATCCATATCGTGAAACCCTTTCTTCAATTGCTTGAGATATTAGGTGCTGGAAAAGGTAGTTGCTCGCGATCAGAAGAGTCCAAGAGGATGCATCACTTCTGTCGAGAGTTGAATGGAAAAGCTGAAGAGGCTGTTAAGTCGGCGTACGTGAGACTTGCCATAAGCTAGCATAACAGGGCACAAGAGGGACATGAGATGACGTGTGCGATATGTTGAAGAACCCCTAGCTTCGGCATCTAAGCCTCAAAATGTCTTACTCGATACTGCTAATTCGATAGCGCAACAGTTTGCAGCACTGAAGTTCTCAGAGCTCTTAGTGGGGTGCTGCTATTGGAAATAGATTATCATATCTCTTCAGCTACTTGGTTTCAATTCCCGAAATTGCGACCTGATGCCTCTCACTAAACCTCACCGGACATACCCAGCGCTGCACTTACGCACTAGGCTTAGAGTCTCATATCTGGCTTATACTTCGAGTTCGTGCCGTGATGACACAAGCTGAGACAGTATCAACGATCTTAGAAAAATTCCGGCGATGATGAATCTTTAACATGTCTCATATCTGGTATCACATGATATTTCGTGCGCGTGGGGATGTTGCTATCTAGTGCATTGACGAGTCTTATGAGGCTGGTTCAATTAAGAGCAGGAGGACGGCCATTCGGCGTCCAAGAAACAGCGAAGCAATCAACGACCTCGTCGTTGAGGCTACACAACTAGACGCTAGCTGTTCCAGTGCGATGGGAAGACTTTCTGGACAATGAGATCCAGTACAATCATGGAAGCTTATTGGCCTGAGCCAAAATAGTAGTAATGTACTATTAAGGGGGAAGAACAAAACTCGTCAATGACCGGAAGCTCACAATCTACGCCATGGTAAGCTATCTAAGATCATGTCCCTTATTTCCGGACTGGGTATCGACCTGAACAACGCGGAAGTGATCGCTCCGATCATAAGACGTAAGATAGATGGCGGTAAGCATACCTTAATTGTCAAGCCTGATGCATGATACCGGCGGCTGTGCTGTATTCTACCCGACCTTACGCGATGATTGATTTTGCCAGCTTGAAATCGAGAGTCTTGGGGAGACAGAGATTAGACCGTTATGCCTAGGCATGGCGAGTGGAGGCCTGCGGCGCAGTCGTGGCAAGCTTGGGTGGGTGCGTTAATTGACTCGCGTCCAGTTTTGAATCCGGAACTGCGGATCAAGCGTGAGGCCTCTATCGAGAGTAGCAAGGAAGTTTCCCGGGTTCGGAAGAACTAGAAACGACTCAAAATATGTAGCTGTGACAGCTATTGATATTTATTGACGCCTACAGCCCTTTCCGTCAAATCAAAAGCTTACAGCCCTTCCCCGTGGGGGAATTTGCATCTGACTGCATGCATACCGGCAGGCGACCTGCAGGATGAGGTAGTATCCTACGAAATTTGACGACTTCGCGAATTGCGAAATTGTGACGATCCTATTACAAGGACGCTGTTCGAGCTTGGGGTCCACGATATTTCCTCCGCGGAAGATCTCCCCACTCCACCATATGTTTGAGCTGCGGAGAAGAAATCACTTAAGCAGAAAGTCAGTCAAACGATTTGTTCGTGCTCAGCGACAGCTAGGAACGATGTAACTTTAGTTTTAGATCGACCTTGTGGATATACGCCGCATCTTGCTTGACTCGCCGAGCTCGCCCAACGTTTTAGCATAATTTAGCTCCGCTGTCGATTTCCTATAGCACTCTAGCCACGCAGGTACATCGGTGACATTTGCGACCGTAGTACCGACATCAGTGAACGCAGATTTATGCTTAGGACTTGCATCATGGGATCGGCTCGCATACCGGTTATATATACCGGGCTGAGCCGAAGCCCTGGTAAACGTGTAGACCCTTTGTGCCGTCTAGGTTTGACAGTGACCCATTCAATTTTTCCCGTCAAACATCATTATGGCGACCAGGCTTCGGAATGCATTTCTTGCAGCAACTGCCTTGTTGGCATCAGGTCCTCTACTTGCTGAGGCAGCGTTGCCTGTGGCACACAGCACGTATCTCGAAGCTAGTGACCATCCCTCAATCTTTACCACTCACAGCTTTTGCGAAAAGTTGGTCGACCTCGGTGAAATCCGTATGAACTATGCGACCGCTGGCTCTTCTGATAAGCCCGCTCTCCTCCTGGTTCCTGGACAAAGCGAGTCCTGGTGGGGATATGAAATGGCCATGTGGCTGTTGAAGGACGACTACCAGGTATTCGCTGTCGATATGCGTGGCCAAGGACAATCGACGTGGACGCCCGGCCGTTACAGTCTGGATACCTTTGGCAACGACCTGGTGAAGTTCATAGATATTGTCATCAAGCGTCCAGTGGTAGTCTCCGGCCTGTCCTCTGGCGGAGTTGTCTCTGCTTGGCTGTCGGCGTTCGCCAAGCCAGGTCAAATCCGCGCGGCTGTTTATGAAGACCCTCCATTGTTTGCCTCACAGTCTAAGCCTGCGATCGGCCAAAGCGTCATGCAGACAGTGGCTGGACCTTTCTTCAACCTCTGGTATAAGTGGCTGGGCGCGCAGTGGACCATTGGCGATCAGGCTGGGATGGTTGCGGCCATGCCGAAAGAAATCCCCGCATGGATCCTCCAGTACTTGGGCAACACAACCAGCGGGCCTACAGGCCTGGATTTGACTTTGAACGAGTACGATCCGGAATGGGGCCATGGCTTCGTCTCCGGCACTGTTGATGCCACTTGCGACCATGAGGCAATGCTCACTCACGTGAAAGTGCCTGTGCTCTTCACTCACCACTCTCGCGCCATCGACCCGTATACTGGAAATCTGATTGGCTCTGTCTCTGATACCCAGGTCTCATATGCTCAAGGTTTGATTACGACAAATGGCAACCAGAGCTTCACACTTAAGAACTTCCCCCTTGCATCTCACGACATGCACAACTCCGATCCTGCCACTTATGTCAGCGCGATCACGACATGGATGGCCAGCCTCGGTATCGGATCAGCAGTCATTCCCGGCCCTGTCAAGGTGGCTTCTGCTAGTGCACAGGTGTCGGCTGCATCAACTGCGCCGCCATCTTGCACGTCTACTTCCGCACCGTCTAGTATGTCTACTTGTAGATCCGCTACCGCAAGGGGCTAAGCGGTCCCCTTGAGTCAGATGCTTACTTACTTTAGCTGGTCATTAACGGCTCTTCATAACCACCATAGACCTAACCAAAAGCAATTCAGATGCAGTTTCAAGTATATAGAAGGAGCATAGTAATATCAAGAACTCAAACAGGGTCAATTTTGTTCTGACAGATAACAAAGTCCATCAAGTCTATATAAGAAAGTGACTAGCCTGAAGAAATCACATTAGAAATCTCATGCTATGCTAAGCTACAACAGTATCCGCCTTGCAAACTGAACTAAAGCTTAGGCCACAACTGTATAGAGTGTTCATTGATTCTTCTTCTGCAAAGAATTCTTTATTTGCAACGTCATAACATTGTAAAGAAAGCAGGAATGTCTCAATGACCTCGACTCATGTTTAATAGTTTCCCAAGCCTTTCAGCCTATGAAGCCATTGCTCATAAACCGACCTACACATCGCTGTTGTGAGCCCATGTGTTGGGCAATACGTGTTCCTCTTGCAGAGAAAAGACACGTAGCGCGGCGAAGTGATCACAGATATGGTCTTGATGTTGCGGTTGGTGAAAGTCATACGTGAGACGAAAAATTATGATTTTGCAAATTTCATTTGATGCCCTCAATACGGCTAAGAACAATCCACGTGGAGATGGAGTGATCTCATAGTCTCTTTAAGCTTGATTACGAATGTTTTAATTCTGGAACTGAATTGAGAACTTTCGTAAAGACATCTAGTTATTGCCACCAGTGTTGATAGATTATAGCTCTCTTACAGTGAATCGATCACCATCCATGCCAACAATTAGCGGTATCGTGCGTCCTTAGGTAAACATCGTGTATATGAGTGTAAAGTACCATTTTCGAATATCGGTCACCCAGAATCTTGCCACGTCAAGATATTGTCTTTGGGTGAATTTAATTAGCTTCACCGTTTGCAGTACTTCCACCAGAGAAACAGGGGTTATTGCAAACGATGTATACACACAACACATCACTCGTCGCGTGTCCTGTCAATATGATTATGATTCATGTGAACATACATTGGATGCGTTTAAATGCGTATGGTGTAGAATATAAATTGCACTGGTCACAGTGCGTCCGAGTGATCGCTCATTCTGCAACTAGCATCCCCACTTCTATGCTGTCTTGTTTCGGGAGCCTCAACCTAGAACTCGAGATATCATTGCGACAGCTTCTACCGTCGATAATCATGAGTTCTCATTTTGGTCACTGGCCTGGAGCTCCGCTGGGAGCAGGCTTCGTTGTGCAGCCAACCAATACGCTCAAGCTTGGGGACAAATTTCCTAATGCCTTGGTCGTTCGGGTTCCTCTCACAGATATTCCTAAAGAAGCAGGAAGTCAGCAAAATGATCAATTCCAGACCACACTCAAACTTTATCGCTCGGGTTCCGATGAGCAGGCTCCATCGCGCCTGCAAACCGATTCACCAATGCTATGGAAATGGAAGCAGGATGTTCCGCAAGATATACGAGCCCGTTTCCCTGAACCAAACTCTGGTAGTATCTTCTTTATGATGAACAACGTCAGGGTTACCAAGCCAGGTGTTTATCACTTGAGGATGGATATAAGGTGGACTAAGGTTAATGGTGATCTTATTGGTTCGAAAAGCTATGCCAGCAAGACATTCAATATCTCCGCATCACCCCAATGCGTCAGTTCATACACTGGTAAATTGGCAAACCTCCGTGCCGCATTCTATTTCTTCTGACTGCTTTTTTCTAGATGGAGACGAGTATGATCTCCTGCGCGCACTGCAACAATATGGTGGAGAACTTGTTGAAGCAACTGGATCAGTTCTTAACCCTATATCCCTCTACCAGTAATGAGTGATGGAGCAACCCTGATATTCTAGAACATGCAGGATGGACTCACTTTAGAATACTAGGAAAGCAGACGCGTTTGATTGTTGTGTGCACGAATGAAATTCGAACAATAACAGGCCGATGATGATGTGGCGCGGACTTCGGACTCCGCTCCTCCCAGCATTCCGGTTCTGGTGGCCCACCATGGCTACGTGATCCCGTGGCGGCGGGCAGATTCATGTCCCTATCTGGGTAGACGACTCAGTTCACTTCTTTAGTTTACCGGTCAGACATTTTTCAAATGCAATATTTCCCTCTCCATTTGGTATGCCCTCGTGATGAAAATTGACAGTTCGAGCGTTTCCTCACAATCTCTGCAACTTTCTGTAATGTGGCACGGACACTCCATGTTTTGGTACAGTGCATTCATTCCTTGCTGTTCCATGCCTGCCGCGCAGACGCGGACTTGAAGCCAGAGCGGAGTCCGACAAAAGGCAACCCGATTACAGCGACTGCTACCTGATCATCGTCAACGGGCACCACTATGGGTAAAAGAGGTCCAAGCCATGCAAGTCCATATGGTCTTGCATGCCAAACCTGTTTCAAGGCGAAATGCAAATGCGTCGCCCGTACGGATGGCGATGGATGTCAAAGATGCCATCGACTGAACAAACAATGTTTCCCATCTGAATCTCTTCGACGCCGCACAATCGACAAGAAGCAGGCTTCAACTGGCCGAATCGCCGACCTAGAAAGCAAACTCACCAGTCTCATATCACAATTAAAGTCAAGAAATGTGCTCGACGATCAACGAACCTCAGACCCGTCATTGGAGTCCACGATAACGGAGTCGGTCCAATCGCCAGACAATCAGTTAGATGACGGCCAAGACATAGAGTACACCGAAGACGATGAAATCAGGGGATCCGACCGCTGGGATCGGTCGCCGGAGGCTATAACCGCGCCGCAACTAATGCAGTTGTCAGATGCAGAAGTCGAAGAATCTCTTGTGAAGTTTCGTTCGCTTATGCTGCCTCAGTTTGCTTTCCTACATCTGCCCCCTGAACTCACGGCGGATCAAATGCGTCGCAGTCGGCCGTTCGTACTACGTTCAATTATCTGCGTCATGTCTGATACGGCAACGGAGCGAAGAATTCGTAGCAGAGAATTGAAGACTGCAATTGGTTCAGCATTGTTGGGACAAGTAAGCCAGTCTGACACATATATGATGGATTTGCTTCTAGGTCTCTTGATATACATAAGTTGGGGATGGGATCATGTTCTGAATCACTGCAGCCTGTCTCGGCTTATGATGCAAGCCATGTCACTGGCCTGCGAAATGCGGCTTGACAAGCCCACTCCTCAGGATGTGCAGATGATGGCGCTCTTCACCCCTAGCTTCACTGCTCGATCAGACGCTATGGGAGCAATGACGACACAGGTCTTTCTAGAGAGGCAACGTGCTATTCTGGGATGTTTCACACTCAGCTCTGCCGTCTCGTCTTATTTCGGCGAGATAGACGCCTTGCGGTGGACTTCGCAAATGGAAGACGGCCTTGCCGCCATAAGCATGAATAGGGACTGCCCGACGGACGTAGGCTTTGCTTTGCAGGTCCGCTTGCAGCTGCTTGCACAGAAGACTGTGCAGGTCCAACAACAACATCAAATGGAACAAGGACATTCCGTTACGGAATCGGCAGCGCTACCCGCACTGATGTCTATCGCGACAATCCAGGGGCAGCTGCAAGAACTGCAAACTTCCCTTTCCCTAGATTTTGCCCGACAGAATCTCATTATGGCCCATATACACGCAACAGACCTTCGCATCAATGAGGCTACCCACGCCATTAATGCGATAGTTCCGCTCATGGTAAGCCATTTTGCCATGATGACCTCAAACGTATCAATGAGCATCTCGAATGGCTTAGCTAGTGCGAGGAGACTCGGCCAGAAGCGATCACAGTCCTTGTGGCAATGTGTGTGTGCCATCAAAGCCTGTACAGAGGCTTTACTGAACTTGACGCCGGTCGAATTCGCTAGCATCAATTTTCTCCAGTGGGCGCAACTAGCACGTTGCGTTGTGGTGCTGAATTATCTCACGACTACGATCGAGGATCCCGCTTGGGACCGAGCTTCCGTGCGTGCTCATGTCGATATGCCTGTGCTCCTTGGTCGCATTATCGAGAAGCTGAAGTGGGCATCTCATGCCACCGCCGAGCATGGGCCCGACGAGGTGTTCACCCAGCTCGCGCACAGGATGCACGGGTTTCTCTCTGATATGACGGGAACCATCGCGAGCGATCGTAGGGCAGCAGAAGACGAGGATGCCGCACTGGCTCGTTCGCGTCATTATGGTGGTGTCGGGGTTAGTGGCCCAGTGAGCATGAGGCATCTTGCCGGCATATGAAATAGATGAAACACGTTCAAAATTCCCTGGGTTATGCGCAGGAGTGAATAGTGGATTTCATGAAGAGGCTAAAGGACAGAGAAACCCGACGATGTGCCCTCTCAACCGGCAGAGTTCTCCCTAGAACCTTCGAAGACGAGCTCTTCCTTTCCGGTTCCTGAATTATTGAAGGAATTCAACTATTCCCCACCACGTCAAGTTTCAAAGAGACTGCGACCATCGCCATGACATTAAAAATAGTCCATCACATATTTCGATTCCGCGGCTCCTCAAGAAGTTACATGCGGTCCAAACGAGTTGTAGCTTACGACACCACCGGCCTTACCATACTGTTGTTCATGGAACATAGACGTCTGTGTGTCTACTATTTCAGGGCGAGTGGTGGAGGCTTCCACCAAGTTGTACCGCTCTGAGACCTTACCCTCCAGAGCCTCTTTAGCGCCATCTATTGGTAACAGGTTAGTATTTATCATCAAACGCGGTAAACAGAGCCACTTACAGATATAAATAGATATCAGATCTACCGCGACAGGCACCCATGTGGCGAGTGCAAGCATCTGTCCAAAACTCCATTGGCCATCTTGGTTTGAAGAGCCCATGATGTGTTCGAGATTGAACCGATATCCTGAAAAAAGCCCGAGTAACGTCCACATAACGGCGCAGCAAAGACTGCCATTGATAGGTTTGACGAGTCGACTGGCTAGTGTCCATACATTATTCAACTGATTATGGTTTGCTACGGTGTTGTTCAGCCAAGAACGGAAGGCGGTTGGGGTAGCCCAGTACAGCCACCATGACATGTTCAGCCCCAATAGCACCTGGGCAA